GACCCATTTTCATTGCCCTGGCTGAGGGAAGGAGGTTCTCACCCAAGATTTGACGGTACATGGCTCCGTCCATCGTCCCATTGATGTGGTGAAGTTGTCCTGTCCCCTTAGCAGAAAAACACCCCCAAAGCATAATGTTTCCACCTCCATGTTTGACGGTGGGGATGGTGTTCTTGGGGTCATAGGCAGCATCCCTCCTACTCCAAATACGGCGAGTTGAGTTGATGCCAAAGAGCTCCATTTTGGTCTCATCTGACCACAACACTTTCACCCAGTTGTCCTCTGAATCATTCAGATGTTCATTGGCAAACTTCAGACGGGCATGTATGTGCTTTCTTTAGCAGGGGGACCTTGCGGGCGCTGCAGGATTTCAGTCCTTCACGGTGTAGTGTGTTACCAATTATTTTCTTGGTGACTATGGTCCCAACTGCCTTGAGATCATTGACAAGATCCTCCCGTGTAGTTCTGGGCTGATTCCTCACCGTTCTCATGATCATTGCAACTCCACGAGGTGAGATCTTGCATGGAGCCCCAGGCCGAGGGAGATTGACAGTTCTTTTGTGTTTCTTCCATTTGCAAATAATCGCACCAACTGTTGTCACCTTCTCACCAAGCTGCTTGGCAATGGTCTTGTAGCCCATTCCAGCCTTGTGTAGGTCTACAATCTTGTCCCTGACATCCTTGGAGAGCTCTTTGGTCTTGGCCATGGTGGAGAGTTTGGAAGCTGATTGATTGCTTCTGTGGACAGGTGTCTTTTATACAGGTAATAAGCTGAGATTAGGAGCACTCTCTTTAAGATTAGGAGCACTCTCTTTAAGAGTGTGATTAGGAGCACTCTCTTTAAGAGTGTGCTCCTAATCTCAGCTCATTACCTGTATAAAAGACACCTGGGAGCCAGAAATCTTTCTGATTGAGAGGGGGCCAAATACGTATTTCCCTCATTAAAATGCAAATCAATTTATAACATTTTTGACATGCGTTTTTCTGGATTTTTTGTTGTTATTCTGTCTCTCACTGTTCAAATAAACCTGCCATTAAAATTATAGACTGATCATTTCTTTGTCAGTGGGCAAACGTACAAAATCAGCAGGGGATCAAATACTTTTTTCCCTCACTGTATGCTTGCCTTTGGTGCTACATGTTCTGAGATTATCGGGCAAGTTGTCTAATCATAATTTACATTTCAAGAATATGAAGGAATACATATATGCAATCTAAGCAGCAATTTGTTTTCATTAACCAATGCTGTGATAGTTGGCTCGTATTTTATGCACAATTTGGTATTCTGTTTGGACTGACAGTGTTAATGTATGTGTAGTGACATAGAATTGGTCACTACGTAGCATCGCGCTGGTCGCTGGCAGAGAAGGGGATCTGCAGTTGCAGCAGCCCTGTCTGACAGCAGGTCACGTGATAAACCAGAGAGAGGGATGTAGGGGAAAGGTTACAGACGGGGCACGTGAGGGAAGCCCGGGAACCCGCTAGTAGGTTCTAGAAACTGGGCGTGGCTGGGGCCGAGCGCTGGGAGGATAAAAGGGGACCCTGAGCGAGAGCTCGGGGCTGTTGCTTGGAGTGGGATCCCGTCGTACTGCTGGAGTCTTCACCACCGTCTATGTCTTCACCTGCTCGGCGTCGTCAGTCAGGCAGCCTGCAAGCTGTCCTGACTGGGAGCTGTAGTTACTCTGTGTGGACTGTGAAGGCTGTTGATAAAGAGTCCCTCTGACTCTTAGTGTCTCTGAGTCAGTCACTACATATGTACAAGAGTGAATGCCAATCTAGTTTGCAATTCGTGCAGGTTACAGTGAGGCATGTGCGTGGGAATATGGGACTCATTGGACTGTACATAGTATAACATCCTGATGAATTTAGATGTTTCTCCCACAAAAGAGAGTAGTGCCAAAGTAAGGATTGGAGGCAGCCACCCCTAACACAACTTTAATTCACATTTACTAAATCCCCTTCTCGAGTACAAATAGTGATATTCTCGTTTTACATTTGTGGAGGCATCTGAGGTTCACCGAAGAACATTCTGACAGGCCCCACTCACTCCCCCTTATCCTCTTTCAATTATAGTGCACTGCATACCATTAATGTTACGCTGAGTCCTCGTGTAGCAATTTTATAGAGCAATGACAGGACAATTGGCGTGAAGACTTTCCTCTCTGTCATTCCTTTGCTGCTCGTTGGTCCACCAAAACGATCACTCTTTGAGTACAAGTAAGTGCAACTTCTCTAAGTGAAAACAGTCTGATAAAGGTGATAGAGGTGTCAGTTGGCATGCCTATGTTGAAAAGCCAAAGGCAGCTATCATGTTATCCTAGTCAACAACCCCCCCCCCCCTAGCTCTAACCATACACCATCCATCATTAAGCATGTCGCAGGAAGCATAGCCACATCACTCGGTTGTCACCAAATGCTTTTCGGGGCTGACCAAGACAAGTGATAATCACAGAGAATTTCTGGTTTGAGTGTGTAGCACACTTTGCTTTTTTTAATTTGTGTTGCTCTATGTCACTCGCCAAGTATCACTATGCGTGGACCGGGGTCTACCATCAGAGGATCAAGCATCTTTACTCTTTGGTTCTTTGGGTAAAGTCACGTAGGTGGAAAAAAAATGAATTAAATCACGACTTTTCGATTGGAACACAAGCAATCATCATCAGGTGTGAACAACCACAGCAAGAAATATTTTTTACTGAAGTATGGATCCTTGCAGTCACGAAAACTTCAAATTTAGAATGATCAAGCATCTCTGTGGTACTCCTCCTGGCTCGTGAGCCGCTGAGCCAGGCGGTGCCCTCGACGAGGCGACAGGGAACGCATCAGCTCGGAGGCCAGGACAGCGACGGGCTCGTCAATAAAGTGTGGGCGGCCGACGCGCCAACAGCACAGCAGGGCCAGAGCCTGCTCACATTTGTCGTGCGGCGAGCGGAGGCGCATCGCCTTAATGCGACCACGTCCCACGCCCAGGCGCCGCACCACCTTCTCCACCTCAGCTGCACTCAGCTCCTGGGCCAGCCAACGCAGATCCCGCAGCCCAAGAGGTCCTGTCTCCAGACAATGGTGCATTCAGAGCATACACTCAAATGAAATGTGTACTTTTGCAAGTAATAGAGCCGTGTTCTTTCACGGAGAGCTGTTCATGACTTCCAGGGAGGTCTCTGTTTCAACAACAGCATCCATTATATCAACATTTGCTAGCAGTGGCAAACAAGAGTTGCCTAAATGTTTATTGAGCAATGAACGTACTGACAAGATGAACCATCACGGAAGTTCTTTATTTATGTAAACCACCGAGCAGGTGCGTTTTAACAAACTGAAGTGGGGGCGGGGAATTAAGTCACTGGGGCCAATTAAGGATATATAGTGGGCAACACAAATGGCTTCCATCCTCTTCCAAAATTTAGGAGGCAGTTGCGTCCCAATCCCTGACACCGTTCCTATCTCCATGCCACTGACAAATACAGGTATCCCTAGATTTATGAAAGGGATGCATTAAACGAAATTTCGTAAATCGAAATGGCTTTTCTCATTCATTTAAGACAAAAAAAATTGGGATGTGTTTCAGACATTCCAACTCTATTCCTAACCTAAAAATATACACCTATATAAATTTTAACAATACAAACATAATAAAAAACAAATTTTAAAACGATTTCATAATAATTAGTTTAAAACTAAAAATAATGAAACTTTCAGGGTACTAACCAAACGATCTGCATATTGTAATGACTGGAATGGTGATGTGGAGGCGTTACTGTTGCACTTTAAGGATATCCCTTGACACTGCTTAAGATGGATGATGACGTAGCCTCCCGGGTGTTTCGTGTTTGATTTCATGGCGTGTGCCATGTGATATATCGTGCACGCGGAAATTCGATTTCGTTAATCGAAAAGTGTCCAAAATTTCTCAATTGCATTAACACAAAATTGTATTAACCGAATGCCCATAAATTGAGGGATACCTGTGTTTGAGTAGACTGTAATTATTCTTTGTGACTTATGGGAAAATATTTTTCATGATAAGTGAACAGCAAAGTGCCTCAACATAGCAAAAAAAACAAGCACATTTATCCGAGTCTACAAATTAATATTCAATTGTGACTTATGGAATAAAACATGTAATAGATGGAATATAAATATATTTATTAACGCTGAGCATTCATATTGAAAAAGACACCTTTATCAGATGAAATATGAATGGTGTCATATTAAATTTTCATCGTTTTACGGGGATGCAATACGCTTGACTCACCATCCTCTGGGATGAGGCACTGGTACAGACTTGGCCCACGGTGGACCTGGCATTGTACCTGGAATATGACAACGCATTGAGATTTTTAAATCGTCAAGATAACAATCTCTAAAAGGCCGAATATATAATGTGTTTTTCTATGTCTCACTATTTTTTTTATATATACAGACAGCCCCCGGGTTGCTGAAGACTCGACTTATGGAAATCCGACCTTGCGGAAATGCTCCCATAAAACATGTTCAAAAGCATTAAATATGCGGAAATATTTGCGTTAGTTACGGCAGCGCAAGTAGTGTAGCGCGGTGAGGTTGCGGATGAATACCGCGGAGTGATTCCTCATGGTCTCAGCCAACATCGATCGGAGAAGTCTAGGTCTAGCCTAACGCATGGAAAAACGAACATTCGGAAGTGACCGCTTTCTGTTAACAAAATTAAAATGTTTCGTAGTATTCATACATAATTAGATAGAGTATTTGCTCCGTTAGTTTAATAATGGACAGTGTTAGGATGAAGTGAAAGCATCATAGGAAGTGCAGAGCGTGTGGACAGCGATACGATACAGGTAGCGATCGAAAACAGACAACAGCGCGATACGGTACTGAGAAAAAACTAACTAGTAATCGGGTAGGGGAGGCACAACTATTCTTTGTTTTTTTTCGGTAAAGTCACGTAGAAATAAGAAATAATAAAAAAAAATTACATGATAGCGTATGCTAGCATGTAATTTTTTTTATTATTTCTTATTTCTACGTGACTTTACCGAAAAAACCAAAGAGTAATTCCTACAGTCACGAAAGCGTCAAATCAAGTTTGAGGCACAACTATTCCCGACTATGGGATTTATCTTGATTTGGGGCTGGAAATTGTTCAGTTTCTGACATACGGAAAATTCCGGTTACGGATCGTTCTCGAAAACCTAACCCTTATATATAAACCCAAGGACTGCCTGTATAAAGTTTACCTATAAATAATATATTTTTTATTATGGCTGAAGACAAGATTTTTAGATGGTATTTTTGGCACACAAAGATGAAGGCATAGCATATATCTGTGCATTTATTGTGTATGTAACTGCTACTGATCGGTGTAAATGAGACGACACACTTTGGAATTAAGCCCTGGGATTTTTTTTGACATTCGCGAGTGCGGCCGGTGCGCACCGCTCCGTGTGCTCGCCTTTGGGAGGGTGAGTGCCAGCGAGCAGAGCTGCAGGTCCCCTCGCCCCCTGCTGGCGGGCGTGCTCATCACATGCAGCGCGCCTCGGTAATTCTGATGTCCGCGGTTCGCGAAGGGGTCCCGCTCACGCAGACGCAGCTGCAGCCGAGAGTGACGGTGAGCGTGGAACGTGAGCCTCTGCTCGCCCTCGGGAACCGCGACCTCGCCCAGCGCCATTCGAGTGCTGTAAATTCAGCCGGTGCATCAAATCAAATGCTGCAACACACGAAAGTATGCGTTGGCGGTGGTGCGGAGACGCATAGGTTTAAAATACTTTACCATCATCATTGCTAACACACTGCCTAAAAAGTGATACAAATATGGAGTATATCATCACCAGACATGATCAACCTGCTGCTAGATGAAGACCTCCCCAAGCCGCCGCCAGCTCTCGCAGAATCTGCGATGTAATGATGAGCCGCCTCGCAGCTGCATATGCACTGAATGAATCAATACATATCGGTGATGTAGTGTTCCATCCATGAGATGTTAAGATGAACGTCGTGGCTAAGTAAATTTGAGGTGTTTGTGATGTAATATATAAGCAGAAAATTGTTAATTTATCAAATGTTTCTCAGAATTTCGTGGATTTTTGAAGCTACCACATTGAGATAAAAGTGAAAGTCTTCAATCCTCCCTCTGCTTGAAAATAGTGCGAGTGCCCAAAACATCGGCTTATCACGTTTCCATTAAAAGGGGAGTTGTCCCGATGACAGTGGTGAAAAAGTTTCATGCTCTTAACAAGATGTGGTATTTCGATTTAAAGCTTTCGTGACTGCAAGGATTCATCTTCTTTGGTTATTTCGGTAAAGTCACGTAGAATGAGAATATTTTATTTTATCAATTTATTATTTTATTCTCATTCTACGTGACTTTACCGAAAGAACCAAAGAAGATGTGGTATGATCAAACTAGGCCCATGACTGACATAGGGTTGAGAGGCCTTCATCCAGCAACGACTTGACAATGGGCTGTAAATTGTAAAACAATGATCAAAGTCATGAAGTGAAAGTGATTTCCTGCGCAAATGAGCATTAAGTAGTACTCATCTCCTGTTTAAAGCCCCGAGCCAGTGGTGAAAATTAAGCATTCCTATGGCAGGGGTCAGCCTATTCATATGACAACCACGGTTGATTTCCGAATATGTACTCGTTTTATCGACCCCAAAATTATGATGGGCTGAGTCAACCCTCAATCAGAATTTGAACATGCAATAGTTTAAGTGTGAGCCGTTTGTTCGACTGATGAGCCACCTGGCAGGACTATATATTAGACGTACTGTATCATCTGTACATTGTGCGACAGGAAGTTGGCAGCAATGATGGGATTCATATCTGCCTTTGAACTGGTTACATGACAGCTTTGTGGTGTCTTTATAAACTGCACAAGGATTATTTACTTTGTGAGGTTTTGATCCTGAAAGGTGCTATAAAAATGTAATGTAGATTTACTAATATCAGTCAACCTAACCAATACGTTGCAGGTATTTCCGATGGGAAAATCATTCCAATGCAAAACATAACACAAACACTTAAAAAACTACAAACTTGATTTGAAGCTTTCGTGACTGCAGAAATTACTCTTTGGTTCTTTCGGTAGTCACGTAGAAAGAAAATAAATTAAATAATAGAATACGACGTTTCGATTGCAACACAAGCAATCGTCATCAGGTAAGAATGAATGAGAAAACAAACCTAGTAAACTTAGAAATATAATGCAATACAACACTTAAAAAACGACTTTCTTTTTTGACAATTAGCGTCCAAAATGTATTAATATAGCTCTAAGTCAAATTTATTTTATCTTGCAAGGTATCATCATAAGACACTGTTTCACCTGGGTGCAGGTGACCCAATGACATTGTGCATAATTAGCACACCTGCAGAGTGGTAACCATATTTCGATTGTGCCCTAAGAAAAAAACTGCTGTCATATTAATTTGACAGGACAGCCAATTTGCAGATGATGAAAACATGAAAGCAGCACTTCACGTTTACGCGTGTTGATGCCTGCGCTGTGGTTACGTGACCCTGAAAGGGGGCGCATTTGACCTCACGCCAGTCCTGATAGCCATGATATTTCCGGTGCTCGTGAAGTGGAGATACAACTCCTGTCCTTCGTGCGCCGGGAAGGGATGGCTGGGCCCGGGAGGACCACTGAAGCCAGCCTTCTGCAGGGCCTCTTCAGCCTCCTCCAGTCCACTCAGTGCACAGCACACCACAGCCAGCCGGCCTGCGTCCGCCCCGTGCCGCTGTGCCAGCACGACCGCCTGGCGCGACCGCACGGCCTCTATAACGGCTCCCGCCATTGCAACCCCGCGGCTCCGGGCCGCCAGCCTGAGCAGCAGCAGCCTGTGCGTGACAGGGATGTGCACGAGGTCACTGGGCCACTCACGGAACATGGGAGCCATGACACATTGCATAGACTTTGAGCTTATGCCAGAACGCAATCTAAATATATATGGTATAGGCCATTCATATCATTTTCAGATGGATGGTCCTGTAGTAAAGTGCCCATCTCATATAAAGAAGGTAAATTAATTAAAACAATTGTCTTAAGTTGATTCAGCCCATCATCTCTGCTCGGGTCAGTAAAATTGTTACAACTCTGTGGAATGTCAACTATGGCTGTCCTCTAGGGAGACTGACCCCTGCTGTTAAAATGTGGAATTTCCACCACTGGATCTACCCAATGCATTTCTGAGCAAAGAGACACTGACCTCTTTGTTATACGTTGCATTACTGTATAATTGTACAGGAAATAATAATGCACCACCATTACCTTGTAAGTATATCCTTAGTGCAATATTTACAGCCTCAGCCATAATTGTTTAGTGCTCCATATATTATGTTGTAAGCACGATATAAATAATTGTAAAAATCCACTTACGGTAATGTACTTGATTTCATTGCATGCAGCTGAAATGATGGCTAATGGGTAGCATTAATATAGTTGCTTGTACTTGGGCAAGATGCTTTGTGGCTTCGACGTAAAGGTCGTGCAGTTATTAAATATCCAAAGACTCCTTACCGAACTCGGCTTTGATTGGCTCACCTCCTCACTGGCCGGTGAAGCTCGACCTGCACAGAGTCACTCTTCCTGCTCAATATCCCCACGTCGCTGAGCTCAGTCCAGTGTCCTCCCACTGTGGGCTGGGCCACCAGGCGAAGGACCTCGTCATCCTGTTTCCTGATGTGTCGAGTTGTCACTGTGTACACATGCACTCGTTAAATACAGATATCCTGCTTCAAAATCCGCAGACTATTGGGCTCATGCCATTTCAACGAAGCAAAATAATAATGGTTCAAACGTACATTCAATACCAGTTTTAGAAAATAGCTGACACGTAAGCAATTAAATCTGTATCGTACAACCAGACAATTATTGTAATTGTCAACTTGGAAATTTAGGGGCCGCCCATAAATGACGTCACGCACCTAGGGGGGGGTTCAGACATTTGTGACGATGTGTGACGAGGGGGGAAGGGGGGGGGGTTGAGAAATGTGACATCACATCAAAATGCGTAACTTTAAATAAATGTTAACTGAATAGGATTGTTTTAACAACACTAATTTTGAAATGTTTTCATGATTAACTATTTGATTATTTAAATTTACCAAGGTCACCTTTTATTAATTCCATGAAGGAGCATTTTTCTTCTCCATGGGAGAATGGAGAAGCATACATTTTGAATTTTTTTTAAAATAATTGTTATTAAACATTTTGATTCTAATGATTCTACCAGGGCTTTTCATTCTGTGAAATTAATGTGATTGTTATAATTGTACTCTCCATTTTGCTTCCTTCTACTACAAAGTTTCAAGCATTTTTTATAGTTATAATAACTGTTAATATTTTATAATTATAAGAGAATTTCAATATAATATTCTGAACATCTGCAGTTTTAGTTAGACGTTGAATAGTTTCAAGTTAATTTTATGAGAAATTTCAGCTTTCCAACGCCTTTTTAATACATGTTTTCTCCTACAACATCAGAGTGCAGCGCCACACTAAATACGTACTAGATTGACAATAGTTTTAAGTGATTTGAAGCATGTTTTATTTTCAAAATGGAAATATGGTTTTGGGGGGGGCAGAGCTTTGTGACGTCATATTTGAGGGGGGTCTGACTTTTTTATGACGCCGTGTGACGAGGGGGTGGAGGGTTAAAAATCGGCCAAAATCGCGTGACGTCATTTATGGACGGCCCCTTAATACAAAATGTGTAATTTAAAATCCACAAGTTTATTTTAAAATGGACAAGTCGGTATCAGCACTTTTGAGTGGGGATGTAAAAAGCTGTATATATTATATTGTCATTAAATGTCTCTCTATCTGTTAGCAGCGTATTTATGTTATGTCGTATATTTAGCCTGTGTGTTGTCACCATGCTGCGTTTGTTGAAATCACCCTACCGCTTCTTCCCACGTGACTCGACACAGTAGGCACTGTCCTGGCCCTCACCCCGACAGCGAACCGGGGGCACGGCAACACCAAAACCAGCGGCCGCATAAATCTAGCAGCGCCGCCGAGGCTCACGATGGGGCTTGTGGCAATTAAACACGCGTCGGCATCGGCGGGGTCCCGGGCGGTTTGCAAGCTCGCGACCACCGCCACTGGGACCGGCTGCACCTGTGGGATCCGATACCAGCAACGCCAAAGCTATGCCATATGCTCATAACTCAGACTGTGCCGTGCCGTCGCGACACAAACTCGTGACGTTATGTCAGCTGTTACGATGTCCACGGAGTATTCGCGCAGCACCACGGCAGGACCACGGTGTCCTCATTCGAGTCGTTGGCGTACATTACAGACATAGCCTTACACTTGCCCTCCTCAGTTAAGCATTGCATGCCTCAAATGCTCCAATTAAATGGAGCCGGGCCAATCAATTTTGTATTTGTGTGGGAATGTTAGATTTAACATATACACTATTATTACACATGGCATGGCATTTAAAAAAAGTACAGTACACCAGCATATAAATGAACTACCTAATTCGTGATTATGTAAGTTGTATATTCTATAAGGCTAAGATGGTTAGTTTAGTTGGGCGGTGGTGGAGCACGCCTGTAATCTAGCACTGGAGGCGAAGGCTGGTGGATCGAACGTTTTACAAAATATTGCGAGACTCCCTTCCCATCGCCATCGAGGTAAAACACCTTAGCTCACCAGCAGAATGCAGTACAGCAAAGTGTGGACTGATATAATTGGTTCCTTCTGTATGGGATAGAGTGTTGCCCCCTTACATGCATGGGATTTCTCCGGGTGCTCCTATTTCCTCCTACATTTATAAGCACTCACTAATTGTCTGAAAACATTCATATATAGAGGACAGGTTGATTGTTGGCACAGCCTGACAGCCTTCCAGCTTGGTTTGTGGTTCCTCAGCGATTTTGAGTTGCAATTTGTATGAGCAATGCTGCATAAAATGAATTATATTTTTAGTTTATTTGACACAGGTTAGGCGCGTGACAGGTAATTGAAGCTCAATTAACGATTCATGTGTACTCTAAAGAGGGCAGATAATATGCTTGCACGTGTCTGCTGCATTGCATATATTACTGTGAATGTCACTGGGTCTTTTCATGTTACCATCATTCTGACTTCATGGATAGGGTATACTAAATAATGATATTTACTGCAGTATGAATGCTAATTTATCCTGATAATCTATCGGGAGGCACTAGGCTTTATGCGACGTGCACGGATTTTGGCATACCATCATAAACCACGTATCGAAACAAAGAGCAGGTCCATTTCTTGGACTGCGATGCTCAGCTTGCCAATGTCACCAAAGCCTAAGAGCCATGGGCAGGCATGCAGTGAACTGAAAACAAAAACGGGTCTCCCGCACCGCCTAGTAATTTAATGGCGTTAATGGCCTCAGCAAGTGCATCCACCGGTTTGAATCATAACTCTGGGATCAGGCAGCGCCATGGCTCTTAAAATGTAGAATTAATAACAGCCATGGAAGAAAAGTCCTGCCTATGGCCAAATGCGCCAAATCTCATCGGATCTCGGAAGTTAAGGAGGTTTGAGTCTACATGTCGTGCTTAGATGGGCGACCTCCGTGCATAAAACCTGTGCTGTAGGCGCTGCGGCACCATGTTGCCAGCAGAGGGCAGTAGAGAAAAGTAAATTGTTGTACTGCACTGTGCTCCAACGTGTATGCCCCCCCCCCTCCCACCCCGACTCCTCAAAACCCCACATTGACCAGCATGAACTATGGTTTCAATAATCCCCGCGATCCGCACATCATGGAGAGGCTGTCATTCAGCAGTGGATCGGTAAATGCCTGATTACTGTAAGTATTAAAGCCCGCGTGAGATGTGTATCACGGTGATGACGCTCTCGCCCCGCTGGCAGCACCTGCAGTGACAGCTGCACGGATGATTTGGTGAAGTCCTTTGGGACGTTGAGGAGGATGCGAGGATCGACGCTCGATTTGAAGGATCCTCCCTCCTTGTCCACCAGAAGGTGCTCATTGGTGAGACGCAGCACCACGGCTATGGTCGGTAGCTCGTGCAGCGAAAACTCGGCAAACACGTCATCCTGCGTTCCATTTGGCACACAACGTTTCCAGCTCACGCTAGCGCACTGCAATTGACAATTTTCACAGTTCGCAACTTCATCTGCCAGAAACTTACCGTTGGAGACAACAACTCCCAAGGTGGCGGCTCACCTCGCTGTCCGGATAGACGCAGTCCAGAGCTTTGGGTAGGATGACCTCCCACTGTGCACCACCGCGCCAGATCTTGCCCACGACCTCGCCGGCCAGGCTGCGGGGCCCGCGCACGGTGTAGGGCACGCAGACGGTGACGGCTTGGGACAGGCGCTGCCCCTTTGGCTGCAGGCACAGCACGTGGCTGAGCAGCTCTTGATAGTCATCCTCACTCTGCTGCTGATGATGCTGGTAACGATCACTGAGATAACACGAGACTCCCAGATCCTCCAGGAGGTGTTGGGGGCCACGGATAAGGCAGGCTACCTCCGGCTCACCATCCCAGCCCGTCACCAGCAAACTGCAAGCAAACATGGTGATGGGAGGGTGGCACGTTTTCTTCTTGACGTCTAATTGCTGTTGATGGTTGGGAAACTGCCTAACTACCTAATGAGCTATTCCCTGACCTACAAGGTTTTATAGCACATTCTTAATTTATAATACGGTTATCTATACTATATTGTTACTGTTTTCTTTTGAATGGTTTCAGTGAGGATTTATTTAATACAAAATTATAGTACGAATTTTAAACTCACTCTCATTACAGACTTAACACAGTTGTGAATCCCCAGTACCAATAACCATTCAGTTGTGATGCCGCATAACCTGTTCGCATTTTACATGAGCCGAAATCAAATTGTATCCTTTCCCGGGTTTATGAAAAAAAACCTACTAGCTCTAACATTCATTGTAAACAATTCAACACGTTTATATGTCACAAAATACTTCACCACACCATTTGTTGAGTTAAGGTTTTTAAGGTAACGAAATCGACATAACAAGTACGTACTCAAATACGCATGACCAGATTTTAACATGGTATTACAAATATTATTTTGATGAAGGCTAATGTGGTACGTTAGAATAAACTTTGCCAGGAATTATTCTTTGTGACTGAGCAGATCATCTACGCATATTCAAACTGTGTGGGTGAAAATATTAAAGATAACTAAATCACTGCCAATGTTTTCATTCACATTGCTTTTAAGTAATTAATTTCCATTTTCTCTCGATGAATTATTAGTGATGTTTTATTCATAATGCAAAAACCTGGCCCTTTTTAGTTTTAGACTACGATATAAAGAATATACGGATATACTCCTTGTGTAAATAGTATAGATTGTGTATTGAACATAAATGCGTTATGATGTATATACAAGAGTGAATTTACCTTTTTGTCACGTATCCGTTAGTCTCCTTATTTTCTGTTTGTGCGATGTATTCTTTTGTAGTGTACTTACAGAGTTCATTATCTTGTAGGTCACAAGGTAAGGAGCCAACCTGCTCATTCGCAAGCATGACTGAACTATAAAATGGGATCTTATTTTCATCGGGATCCGAGTGACTAACACGAGCGTCTTCACTGCATATACCAGGCACAACTTTGAGACTGGCCTGGTGCGCCTGAAACATAATTTCACTTTTTTTGTCATTGTGCTTCATTGTATTTTCCTGAGATTTGCCCGTGCTTTGACCATTTCCTTCAGCTTCACTGCCGTGTTTCACACGTGCGCGTTCTTCAATTTGCTCACTCATCTCGCGTGGCTGGATGTCCGTGCTGTTTGCATCGAGACCTGTTTTATTAGTGTCACGATTATCTGAAATCTCATCGTTTTCCTCAAAGTCTGACTCTTGCATGTATAACTCATCCATGCATTCTATGACAGAGTGGATGTCCTGCTCATACACGTTGTCTTCTTGTTGTTCTTCAGAACGTTCTCTAAACTGCGTGCTGCCTTCATGACACATGTCCCTTTCCTTGTGGCTTTCGTCTGTGGAGCTTGTCCTGTTTATCAAGTCGGTATCGTTTTCTGCATTAGGGCTTTCATGGCTTAACTTCGATTGAATGCCATGACTTCTGTCCAATCGAAATTCGCCCCTGGTGTTTTTATTCTCACAATCTGAAATCTCTCCACTGTCAGAATCATCATGGTCGGTCGTGCGTTCCTTCCCCATGCCCTGCAGCACTTCACACCCCTCCGCGTTGTTATGAATGGTCTGTAAAGACCCCGTTAGATGTTCTTCCGGAACTTGTACAAATGTGTATTTTTCTTGTCCATCAGTTACTTCACCTTTTTCTCCACTCGAGACTTCGGAATCAATGTGTTCCATGGTGCTGCTCCAAACCAACCACTCTAGCACAAACACCGACAGCTACATCATCAAATGTAATGGACTGTAAACGCCACCCAACAACCTTTTCCCCAGAAGGCAGAGTTAAAGATAACGGTGGCACATTGTGTTGGCTTCTGATTATTGTCGCAGCAGCTATGTTTATATATACCCGACTCATTTTATCTTATGTCCAGTTTAAAACTGGTAATTTCATCTCACTCTAATATAATGCCGTGTTAATACACGTAATGAAAATTAATTAAATTCTGTAAAAAAAATACATTGAATGTAATGTATTACTTTGAATATATAAAAATATATGTAGGATGTCAGTGTGCCCAGGTGATTATGTAGTCACTATAGCTTCTTACATTTGTTAATATAAGGGCATTTCAAACAGTAACTTTAGTAAAAGTATTTGCAATTAGATATGAACTTGTAATAAACCACTGAACGTTGCAATGGCGTAATGCTCGATAAAATGAAATCTCGTTGTTTACATAAAAGGCAAGTAAACAAACAGTACGAGACGTAATTTTAAGTTGCATTAAATACTTGGAGAATCCACACAACGATCGCTTATAAATTAGCCTTCGGGTGGCATTAATAATGGAATTGATACTCCCGAGAACAATGAATTGCACCTACTACGCTAATGCATTGTTCTTATAAAACTTGGCTCTAACATTAGCATTTGTAATTGCATACCCCGCGTCGTATATAATGCAGTGAAACAAAGAAAACATACCTGTTGATGTTCTCTATGAAAATACGTTCGTTGTCTTTCCTGGCCTGCGCGCCTGTCCTCGTTGCTATGTGCTTCTCCGTATACAAAGCAGCTTTCTTTTGTACCGCGGAACTGGAGACCAGATGCTGTCAGCAGCTCAGTAAATATTTATTCAGGACTTCCGGCATATGGGATCAAACCTTAATGTGTGCTTTGTAGTTTATACTTTTTCCAAAGCCGATTTAGATGCCCCATATGTGAAATTGTACGAGTACTGGTTCATAATAGCAAAATTTGGTTATAATTTTTAACTTGCGGTGTCTGATCTAAGTAATCACTCAAGTCTTTCAGTTTGGCCAGTGTAGGTCCTGCCAGGTCCTGCCAGTCCACTCAGCAGCGACAATCCCCTTTGTTTAACTTGAGAATGCATTCAAATTAAAATATTCTCCTGAAGACAAGTGTATATGCAGATACATGTTTAGAACTCGTCTTAAGTCATGTAGTGTATTTAAAAACAAAAGGTAGTAAGACGTGAATGCAACATCAACATATAGCACTAGCTTGTTTGCCCATCCTAGGACGGAAGCTGTAATATTTACGAAAACATTTGAGCAGAGTATAATTGTATCTTGTGTAAATTGAATGGCAGTGAATCTTGCACGAAAGTATGTCATCAAACACTTCACTGCATTTCACTGTAGCACTGCATTAATGGCAGTGATTCTTGCACAAAACTACATCATAAAACACCTCACTTCATGTCACTGTAGCACTGTATATAACTGACCTTCAATTTTTGTTGCATTTTGACTACTTGTGTTGTGGTTTTTGCAAACATGATCCCTTGTATAAAGGTGTCAGTTTTTGTGCCAGATAAAAGGGTAAAAACCTATTACTACTTGACCTTCAATTTGTTCAAATCCACTGCTCTGATACTTTATTATATTCTGCTTTCGGTCGCTGGGGTTGAAATAAATTGGAAATCGATACAATATCTGGAAAATCACCAATAAATGTCTATTTTACCATAATGTAGAAGCATAAATTAGATACCTTTTGTCTTAAGTGCTGAAGAAATAAAGACACCAAATCCACTTTGTTTCTGCGTAGAATTATTAGATTCACTTTCAATAAAGAAACGTCAAACTTAAAGCGAACTTGCGAATTTTTTAAATTTCTGCTCGAACTTCTCCGTCAGTGTAAAAATCCACTGGCTCATGAATATTAATGACGTGGGGGGGTGCATGTGGAGTGACGTCACGTGCGGGACACACAGACATGCTTGGCTCATCATAGTAGTAATTATTTTATTTGGCATGAACATTCACTGTCTATTAATTCTGCAACCCATTGTGAATATATTTATGGTGTTATGTTCAAAAATCCAGTTTTCTCGGTCATACTCAAATAATATTGTTCTGAAGATTTTATTACACCTATTTTGAGAATTGTTTTGGAATGACTTTCACATAACCCCTAAAGTACTAGTCTCAACCTCTTTAATATAATTGTTGTAGGTATCAACTTCGAGGGAGACTTCTCTCTTGGAGGAAACGTGTTTATTTCAGATAAACGATAACAATAGCCATAACACTAAGGGCTATGGCCCCTGTAACACTACGGGGTACGGCCCCATCACCCAATAACCTAAGGGAGGTACAGCCTCCCTTCTAGCGGGCCCTACGGACTCCGGGCTAGGCTCTCATGGGTCCTCCGCTAAGGGAGCTCGGGGAGGCTAGACTGACCCGACCTAGCCAGGGTATGGGTCTCACCGCTGGTCCGCTGCAACCCGGCTCTTACAAGAGCCTCGGTTGAGGGTCCCAGGGTGCTGGACTAGTCTTCAGATGTCTTCGGGTCTTGAGTGGACGAACACTGCTGGTCCCGTTGAGAGGACCGGCTTTTATACACAAGTTGGGGCTTACCCCGCCCCTAACCACACCTTCCCCCGAACCTTCCAGAAGGGTCTGGAAGGGTCAGGAATGAACCGTTGGCCCCCACCCCTTGGGGGTCTGGGGTCTCTACCTCCGGTCACGGGGCACCCAGGAGGGGGGGGGGGGGTTACCCCAGGTTAACCACTGCACCTCCCGCTCACTCTCCCGGCCGCCCCCTATCGGCCTGTGAGGGTGGTGACAGTAAGAAGACATACAGCACCTTAGTATGGCGCAACATAATGAAAGGTAACTGTTTATAAAGATTTGAAATGGGTGTAGCCCAAATGTCAGCAGCCAATGTTAATGTAAGTGGTGGGCAGCGACTACGGCAGTGGCGAGTTTTCCACCAATCAAAGGGCTGCCAGGTAAAAATGAGCATACTCATTGGTTCTTTCGGTAAAGTCACGTATGTAGAAATAAAATAAAATGAATCACGACGTTTCGAACGCAACACAAGCGCTCGTCCTCAGGTGAAAATGGCGTAAACTACACAGCGAGGGAACACACAGAGGGACATCACACACAAAGCACACCGAGAGCGGCCTCCAAGGCGAGTGCGCCGAGATGGCTATGTTAATGTGAGAAATTAGCAGATTAATGGCAGATCGCCGAGCAGCAACCTCGAGGTTGGTGCGCGAGGTGGCTGTGTTAGTGTGATAAATTTAACCTGTCAATGTAAAATCAGAGCCGAAAATAACACCTAACATCGGAAGGTGGTAGGATGGGAACATCACAACCAGTTATGACCTAAACTGGTTAATAACGTCCTTCCAATGATTGCTCAGTTTGTACCCATCTTCTCGGTTGAAATTGTGTCTGTATATGTGGATGGCTTCATGAACGAATCTTTGTTGCTAGCCAGTGGGTTTGCAAAGTATCTTCGTCTTCGAGAAATCAATTACATGTGAGCCCACCACATTAAAACAATGGTCAGCCACGCCAGAGGTATTTATCCTACCGTATTTCAGATCTGCCTCATATTCACGAACACGGTCCGAGACATGTCGCTTAGTCTCCCCAATGTAACTACTGCTGCAGACACAGCTTAGTTTTTAGACGCCGGGGTATTGCATGTCAGGGATCAGATTATTCACAGATGGGATCAGATCAAGAATTTCATGTAATGTGTTAAATCGAAACTGGATCTTGTGTTTGCTCATTAGTTTGGAAATATTTTTGGTAACCCCTGCTGTATGGCAAGGTGATGGTTTTGATTGGGTTCTCAGATGGTTCTTTCCCAACGGTTGGGGTGATAGCTTTACAGATTGTGAAGAATATCCATTCATCTTGAGAGCTTGGTGTACGTGTTCCAGTTCACTGGCTCGGTGATGGTCAGAAATACATTGAGCTCTATGGTGTAGGGTTTTGATGAGGGAATTCTTCAGGGAAGGATGGTGGTGGGAGTCAGGTTTTAGATATGCATCCGTATGGGTGGCTTTCCTGGAGATAGTGTCCCATTGAGCCATCTGGTCTCTATTCAATTCAAACATCCAAGAATAGTAGCTTGCTATCCTTTTCCACCTCCATGGTGAATTTGATGGCTGGGTGTATGGAATTGATGTGGTTGAGGAATTGTTTCAGAGCTGGTCGGCCATGTGGCCAGATGACGAACGTGTCATCTACGTACCTCTTCCACAAGGACGGATGTAGAGTGGATGCCTGGATGGCATGTCTCAAAATTTTCTGTGAAAAAATTGCTACAACTGGAGATAAGGGAGACCCCATTGGGGTACCTTCAACCTGTTTGTAGAATGTTCCATTCCAGGTGAAGTTTTGGTGAGCAGCATGCAGCATTCAGTCCTTCTTGGACTAAATCTTCAATGATTGCAATGGTGTCTATATTGAAACTAACGAGCAAATCACTTGGAGATAGTGAGATATCCTTAATTAACGATACCAAGTGAGCTGAGTTAAGTACACCTGAGGTGGCCTTACCAGTGAATGGTTGTAAGGTCTCAGACAGCAATCGGACGAGTTTGTAGGTGGGTGAGTTAATGGTGGAGACAATAGGACGAAGGGGTGTACCTACTTTATGAATTTTTGGTAAACCATACAATCTTTGTGATTTCACAGCAGAGGGTTTTAAGGAAAATCGCTTGGTTGGTTCGATTAAAGATGTCGAATTGGTGTTAGTTTTTGTAACGAGGATGTTGGTGGGATCTTTTTATTTTTTGTATAGCTACCATCATTATGTAGGTCCTGAATTTTATTGCATGTGGTTTTGTCCATGACTGTGCCATTGCCCTTGTCGGCTGAGAGGATGACAATGTCATCTCTTTTTTTTGAGAAAGCTCAGTCATCCTTACCGATGTTGCTAATAGGTGTCTTAGCATTATGCTTTGGGGGTGTTTTTCTAAGGGGACAGGACAACTTCACCGCATCAAAGGGACGATGGACGGGGCCATGTACCATCAAATCTTGGGTGAGAACCTCCTTCCCTCAGCCAGGGCATTGAAAATGGGTCTTGGATGGGTATTTCAGCATGACAATAACCCAAAACACACGGCCAAGGCAACAAAGGAGTGGCTCAAGAAGAAACACATTAAGGTCCTGGAGTGGCCTAGCCAGCATTTTAATCCATAGAAAATCTGTGGAGAGAGCTGAAGGTTCGAGTTGGCAAACGTCAGCCTCGAAACCTTAATGACTTGGAGAAGATCTGCAAAGAGTGGGACAAAATCCCTCCTGAAATGTGTGCAAACCTGGTGCCCAACTACAAGAAACGTCTGACCTCTGTGATTGCCAACAAGGGTTTTACCACCAAGTACTAAGTCATGTTTTGCAGAGGGGTCAATACTTATTTCCCTCATTAAAATGCAAATCAATTTATAACATTTTTGACATGCGTTTTTCTGGATTTTGTTATTTTGTCTCACTGTTCAAGTAAACCTACTATTAAAATTATAGACTGATCATTTCTTTGTCAGTGGGAAAACGTACAAAATCAGCAGGGGATGAAATACTTTTTTCCCTCACTGTAAATGCATATCGTTTATAAATAATGGGCTCCAGTTTTAATAGCAGTGGGTTCAGTTGATGTAATTACCATTCACACCAGACATCTTACATGGATCTCAAAAACAGCAATAACACAAACTGCCATTATGGACAGACATTTTTATTTTTCACTTGCAATCAGGAAGTGTAACATGATAAAAAATGCCAAGAACATTTTAATAAAATTTCACCTTGAAATTTAGATGCAATTACTAAATGTGTGGACAAAAAAAATACACGTAATGTGGCAAACAGCCTTAGACCAAATAACTAACGTACTAAATATTGTCAGACAGAATGGTCTGGATTTGAAAGATCAGTTAATGTCATTACTGTTAGGTTTCAGTCGCTCCCAAGGTAATGGTCACAAGGTCTGACGTTATTGTCCCATGGCCGGCCAGTCGTCATGGTCGGGTCGTGCGACTCGTCACATGGTCAGCGGACGTCACGAGTCAACAGTCCACTTGCTGCGGAAACAAAATCAGCCAGCAGTTTTCAAAAATGCACTCATTGTTTGCACAACAATATAATACAAAAAGTCAAATTAAAACGTTTCCATGCTCATACAAGCATCAGAAGGGTGCTCCATTCTCCAGGTGGCTCTGATCCAGGTGGAAATTCCACGTTCGTATGGCAGGGTCAGTCTCTCCATAGGAGATCCACTGTTTACTTCCCAAAACAGTATGCAATTTATCACCTCCAAGGGATGATTGGCCGAGTTGTCCCCAGCAAGCAGAACTCGAACTCAACCTCCCGGTTGCGAGTTAATCATGTGGCCAGTGCCACCCGGCTGGATATATTATTACAGTATATAATATATACTAGCCTTTAGCCCATCCAAGGACGGGTGTATTGCAGTAAATCTGAAACTTGCAAAGCGAAAAGCAGACCGCGACGTGATATGCATTGCATCCATTCGTATGCAATTTTTAAGGGCACGGTGACACAGACCTATTTCATTTTAAAGGTTACAATCCCTTGTTCATCATGACGTCCTTTTAACTTGTCTCAATAGCGTTACGGAGATCGCGTGACGTGAGGGTTCTGCCTTTGTAGTGAGAGTTTTAAGTTGACGCCGAGGAGGGGGGGAGGAGGCGCCTCGCTCCCCTCATGTGGAGTGACGTCAGACGCTAATTATTATGAATGGGGGTGGTGTCCATTTGGAGGACGTCACCTGATCATGATTATTAATGAGGGGGGAGGGTGCTCCATGTGGAGTGACGTCACCTGCTCATGATTATTGAGGGGGGAGGGTGCTCCATGTGGAGGACGTAACCTGTTCATGATTATTAATGAGGGGGGCTGGTCGACGTGGAGTGACGTCACAAAAGATGCACACAGCCATTCTTGCCTCATTAGTAGGTAATAATAATGGGGGGGGTGTCCATTTGGAGGATGTCACCTGCTTATGAATATTAATGAGGGGGGCTGGTCGATGTGGAGTGCCGTCATGAGCATTAAGGACCTTCTTGGGTGATCATCCTAGGTATTTTTCAATTTGAAAAAATGTCTTAGAAAACTCGGGTAAATTCACTATACAAGCAGCATAAACAATTTATAAAGGGCATAGAAATACTTACCTGAACTGAAGCATGGCAGTCAGTTATATTTCATAAAACTGAATTCACATACGAGCTACTTTTAAATCCCAATGCATTTTATTATGCTAAAGTCAAGATTGTAAACAAGGCACTAGCAAAATGCATCTCGACAGTCACGGGAGTATTAATACCCCATAAATATTAAAATAGAGAAGTATCTTCTAAAGGACTGATACATGCCATGTCATAACACAACTGATACTGAGTGGCATGTGACCATAAATCACAATGCCAGTCAGATGTTTTGTGGGAGCCAGATCTCTTTTATGGGCCCTTGTCAATTGTAGTCATACAGGCATGCATATACACGCCAGCTTTTCTTTATACAGCCTTACCATCCGGCCGGTGGGTTTGTACCTTACCCGTGGTGCTAGTTTGTGCGTTGCCGCTTGCGTGCCTCATCCTTGGGTGGGTCGGCTGGCAACACCTTCATCTTCACTCCACACACCTCTTGTCCGTGAAGCGAATCCATGGCATCCTTAGCACAATCTCCATCCGCGAACTTCGCGTAGCCGTAGTTCTTTTGTGGCAAGACGTACACCTCAATCAAGTTCCCGTAACGACTACAGGCAGAGACCAAATCGCACATTACCCACCAACTCAATGGCATGGGGCCCAGTTCATTTATTGGTGGAAACTGCCCACACACTAATTGGGCCTGTGGACTTCAGGCAAAGACAGATTAAAAGAGCACAATCATGAGTTGTGTGCAATGTGTATGAAAAGTGCTGCAAATGTACACAATGTGAATAAACATAAGCAATTTTAAGACACTTATGTAAACTGCACAATTATCTGTTAAAATGTTACCAAAAGACATCGGTGAGGGCTTCCTGGGAAGGTGGCATGCCAGAGAAAACCAAGAAGAGCCTCTCCTTCATCTCACTGTCTTGTGAAGCGAGTGGTTGGCGTGGCGGCAGCTTAAAGTTCAGATATTGTGGCTCAGCTGTCGGGGTCGTAGCCATGCCCATTTTAGGGGTATTGAAAGCCTAATGGAAAATTTCACTTGGTTAATGAGCATACGACTAACATCCTTACACATTTATTCATGTATCACTCAACACCACCCTTAAACGAGATGTGTTGAGAGCACTCAAATTTCTCAGCAAAAAATCAACCCAAGAGCTACATTATTTATTAATCTCCAAAAGTGTGGATGCTAGTATATGGAACATTACTTTTCGTTTCATAATCGCATTAAATAACTATGATAAACACCAGTTACCTGCTGTGGCACCCCTTGAGCCATATTTCCATAATTTGAAGCCACAGTTGCCATCATTTGAGCAGTCACCAACTGCAAAGCCATCATCCCCAGCGGACTAAACCAGAAAGGACAACCAAACATTTCAAGATAATTATGAAAACCACACAAGGCACACGTGCGAAGCAAAACTTGGAAATAAAATGTTTAATGAGATTATAAATACAGTGCTTCTTCGTCAGTTGAGAATCTGTAGGTCTCACTTGCTCCCACTGGCAGCAGCCTCTGCATCCTCAATAAAGTTGACAGTGAGTTGAAAGCCTGGTGGATATTCAAACCGGTTCAGCTTCTCCCGGGCATAGATGGCCGAGGCTGGGTTGTTGTATTTCAGATATGCAAATCCTGAACACAGGGATGAAAAAAGCACTAGTAAATCATGAGAAAAAAATATCTAAACTTTACATTTGAGAATAGCATGAATGAAATCAATAATTTGTACAATAGTAATTAAGTATCAAGATTTTTTGAGAATGGGCTTATTTGTTTTTCATTAAATATTTGAACAGAGGTTAATCAGTGAATGATAAAATGGAAGAGGGCACATACTGTAGCCAGTGTATGGATCCCTCTGGACATCACAGTACTCCAACCCAGGAATGATACCAAACAGAGATAACATCTGCTCCTTTGTGACACCCACTGCCACTGCCACAGATAGGCAGCGTGAGATGGCAGGATCCGGCGTCTGTGCAGGGGGAACGGTGGCATTCCTCTGGTGAGTGAAGTCCCCTGACATAGCTGTGTTCAAGATGAGAAAAAAAACATTTAACAAAACTAAGAATATATACACGAATAGCAAATGCAAAAGAGAGATCACTAGCCTGAAAGTGCCAGCAATATTTTAAATGTCTTTGTAAAGTACTGTGTATCGTATGTCTGTTGTTTAATATGCAAGAAGGCACAATGCTTTGTAAACTGTAAAACAAAGACACATACCATGGGCAGATGGAGGAAAAGAGCCTTGCATGCGTGGCATGTCGCTATACCCTTCTCTGCCCCCATACGGTGGGTAACCACCATGAGCATGCTCCATATGGGAGTGCTGAATTTGAGAAGACCTATTCTTCGGATCTGCAAGGATGGCTTTAAATCCTAGAGAAAAAAAAAACACAAATTATATACTTTTCAATATTTAAATTATTTTGAAAGTTGTATATGAAATTAACATTCAAGCACACTGTTTTGAGTCCATGGTTCGTTACATCAATTTCTTATATAAAAATGTAAGAATCCCTCATGGTGAAAATCTAGGCGAGAAATGTTGGTGGTCCAACTTTGAAAGTGTCGCTTGAACTGGCACATTGTCAGTCATAAAAGTTAAAAACTCTATCCAAGGGCACTGACCTTGCGGGTTTGCTTGTTACAAAGCTCAACACTAATTGGGCAGCTGAGATCTAAAAATAATTCAAGGCTATACGACATCCAAAAAAACTCCTCAGAATTTAGAAATGCATATATTCATGTGTTTTATTATACTGCACGCAATTTCAAAACAACACTAGGTGATTGCAGTTCATTGGAACATCCTGTAATTGTTTTACGAGACGATACAATGGCTTACTTTTGTCACAGTTTTCTATTGCTAAGGCAGCCTGTGAGGGCTTCAGAAAGCGAACGTATCCAAATCCCTTGCTGTCCTTGGTGTTTTTATCTTTCAGTATACTGCAGTATTCAATGTCTCCATATTCCTGTGAGAAAGAAGCAGACAATTGGGATGTTAAGACAACTCCTGGAATGGAAGAAAAACTTAATACAAATGATTTCAAAATAATAAAGTAATTCTAGATTTAAAGCTTTCGTGACTGCAAGGATCCATACTCTTTGGTTCTATTCGGTAAAGTCACGTAAAAAACAACACCTGATGAAGGCCACTTGTGTTGTGGCCGAAACGCCGTGAATTTTTTTTATTTTTTGTTTTTTACGTGACTTTACCGAATAGAACCAAAGAGTAACAAGGTAATGTCAGGCCTTCAATAAACTGCGAGCTTTGATATATATTCAAAATTAGATCATGCATTTAAAATAATCAATTTCTCCAAAAATTGGTCTGCTTCAAGTAATGTTCTCACCTGAAAATTCTCACGGAGGTCTTCCTCAGTGTAGGTCTTCGGGATCATGAGGAAAATGCGTGTGAGGTCTTCATCCTCCAAGTCCCTGTGGTTATTTGAGGCACGGGATTGAGCCACCATGGCCTGTGAGGCACACACATCACCGTTACTTTATGAAGACAAAGTTGCACACAGTGCTTTGAGACCCACACAAAAATCCCACTGGGATTTTTGCACACAGCGTTGATATGCGGTGCTTTTTCTGGAAGACTTTGCTGATTTTTCTTGGATTTTTCTGTTGTGCGTAGTTACTTTAAGATGTTTCTTGTTCATGTTTTTGTTTGTTGCGGTTGCACCCGATTCAAGAGCCGAATGGCTGACAGGGCTATACCTAATAAATGAACTTAACTGAACACATGTGGCTAGTTTAGAGTAACATTAGGATCGATTGTTACTCATGTTGGGTGATTGTGAGATAATTGGTATTATTATGCTTATTTACCCAGGAAAGCATCACTTCGTCTCAGCACACAATGGCCTACTTTTTTTAATGTCATAGGATCATTAACATTCACGTATTTATTTTATGGTTAATACACCCGCATTATTAACCAGGGCACCCTGATGGATGCAAACCAGGAACCTTTGCACCAAGCAAAGCACGAGCTACTTTTTGTTATTAAATACCTTTACAATTAACCATCATATAAACACGTTTTAAAGTAAACGATATGAACATTAAACTAAAGTTCTATCAAGTTTTAAGGAGTTTCTTTAGTAATGAGAATGCAAACCATTAAGGATCATGCAAAGGCATGATCATGGGGCGTTTACCATTCTTCGCTATTTTTTTATCTTATTAAAAAAGCAAATTTACCACCATAAGCCAAGCTTTGGGCACTTTGGTCCTTTATACGAGTGAAATTAACAAACGTTCACAACACTTAAAACTGACTCACATTTAATGCATATGGTTAGACGTTTGTATCCATGAAGTGAATACAACACAATGGGTAAGATACACTTATCCATGGTTAAGGGATAGCTATTCCCAAGTTTAATTCACTTGCAAGTGCTCTAAACACTGTGATTTATACACATTTTGGAGTCGTCATCCCTTTCAACGGAGGCTCGGCAGACGTAAACATTAAACTAAACCACAATATCATGAACACGACAGTTAGGAATGCAAAACAAAAAGCATTTCTGCATTAAAACGTTCGTGACTGTAGGAATTAATATAGTTCATAAAGTGATAAAAAAATATCACGACGTTTCGATCGCAACACAAGCGGTCGTTATCAGGAACAGGGAGGTTATAGCCTTTGAGGGCAAGCTGTTTATAAAGGTTTAAAGATGCCGCGTCGTGATATTTTTTATCACTTAATTTTTTTTTCTATCTGCGTGACTTAACCGAAAGAACCATAAGCATTTCTGCAGTAAACTTTTACCCGGGAGACTGAAATTCAATACAAATATAGGCGCGTGCGTGACTTGGACAGGCTTCAGCACAGCACGCGCTCTGACAGGGAATGTCACAGTCTTGATTTACGAACAGGCGCGCTCCTTTCAAAACCTGCGTTCAACTTGCACATAAAAACCAAGATTTACGCAGGGGGGCTATATTTGAACAATTAATAGGGTATCAGTTTTGGGCGCCAGTGAATCCCGCTGCGATTTTCCAAGGTCATCTCAGGAGGAAACAGCATGCCCACCGGCTGCCGTGGCTATTTTGCCCCCCTCCACCACCCCCTTAGCATCACAATCTGCTCTGCATTAATTCGGCTCTCCGACAGCCTCGCAATGAATAGAAGCATCGAAGAGGCTTAAGTGCAACCCTAATAGGCGTTTTGTCGACGTAACTTCCTCCACTGACATTATTTATTTCGTTTTCCGGTATTGTAGGGAGGGGAGGGAGAGGGGAGAGGTGGGGTTGTCGTTTCATCATTTCCTCGTGACACACAACGCGCTGCAGTGATCACGACCTGTCAGCGCCGCACTCACCACAGGCCCATCACACTCACCACCGCGTCGTCATCACGCTCCCCACCACGCCGACAGCCAACAGCCCCATCACACTCCATCACATGCCAGCAAACACCGACCTCACCAACACACTTCGCCACACACCCCATCATGCATGTCCTATGAGAGAGAATCCGATGACGACGACTCCCCAGACCAGTTGGCCACACTCCCCTTTCACATCGCAGTCCGTTGCCTATGCGCCCACCGCATGGGTTCGACCCCGACCCCTGCTGTAAATTTGGAGTTTGCGTGTCTCTCTCCATGTGGTCGCGTGGAATTTTTGTTCCCTGTCCTCCGGTTTCCCCCCCCCCCCCTCCACATTTAGAATCATAAAACATTCGTTTAGAGTATTTGGCTACTATAAATGTCCACATGATCGGCCACTTCGTCGCGATATCATTTGTGGCCAGGTCGCTTGTGAGCTACACAGATCAGTGGGGGGGGGGGGGCCTTACCTATGTAAAATACATAACATAACATCGTCTAGCATAGCATATGCTCCCCCCTTCCACACGCACCCTACTCCTGCACGCAACTATCACCACAGCTATTGCAGAGCAGCAGGCACCTTTGTAACCCACGCTCCCCCTCACACTTCCCAAGCTCGCAATACACACACCAAAGCAACTCAACATTCACCGTGACGATGGGCCATGGTCAATTCGCCCACCAACACCACCACTACCACATTCGCCGCCATCTCTCTGCCTTCCCACGCACAACCCTATACTGTATCCCCCTAACGCACCATTCACTACGCCACCCGTTTGGGTTATCAGATGCCGTTGGCCAGCACGGCGCCCGGCCGCCTTTGTCTCTCCGGAGCTGACGTTCAACACGCCGTGCCCTCATTTTGTCGAGGCCGGGTCGACCCTGGGGCGGGCGGGCGGGCGAGGATCTGAGGCCACCCGCCACGGCACTCACCACTGGGCCACCGCTCCACACACGAAACCCGCGCCACTCGCATTCGCCGACATACACGCACAAAGATTGTCCACCACCACCACCACCCCGTATAACACTTTCACAGATTGGTATAGGGTGAGCGCTGTTAGCGAGCACGCTACACGAGGGGGTGGGTGGCCAACACCACGCCCGACCGCCTTTGTATCCCCAGTGGCGATTTTTTTTTTACATCACACTCGGTACTCATTTGAGGTTGAGTCGACCTAGGGGCGGCCCGGGACGGGTTTAAATCGGGTCGCCCGGGTTCTGCCTCGCGATAATCCTCCTGCATAAACCCACCGTGACCACCAACCTCCCCACCCCCACCTTACTCTACCTCCACCGATCTCCACCCCTCCCTATCTCCACACCTCCCTATCTCCACGTGCACACACCTCCACTCCACCCACCCCACACACCAGCTCGTCGCCGCGCACACCTTGATGGGCTTCCCGTCCCCGCTGAGCGGCTGCCCGTTCATCTCCTCCATGGCGCGGCACGCCTCGGAGGCGCGCGCGTACTTAATGAAGGCGATGCCTTTGTGCTCCTTGGTGTGCTTGTCTTTGACGATCCACAGGTCCTGCAGCTCGCCGAAGCGGCTGAACTTCTCGCGGATGTCGGCCTCGGACGTCGTCTTGCTCACGACGAGGAAGAGGCGGCTGTTGGGCGGATCGTCCAGGTTCATGGCGTGGTACCCGCGGTGACTGCCGCGCACGTCTCGGTCGGGGGACGCCATGCTCGCAACTCTGCGCCTCGTGGTGTCGTCTGCTCCGCCTTCACCGCCCTCTTGCACCCCCACTCACCGAGACCCCGCCCCCAAGATAAAAAACCCCGCCCCCACTCATCAAGACCCCGCCCCCTAATGCAAAGACCCCCGTCCCCAACGCCCAGACCCACTCAACCAGAACCCCGCCCATAAGGCCAAAGTCCACGCCCCTTTTTAAAACTTGGTCCCGCCTGTAACAGCTTCACCACGCCTTTCAATGGCAACCTTGCTCAGGAACAATTAATAACCCAATGTAGTGTCAGAATGAGAATATGTATTTATATTCTTTGGGTATATTCGGTGAAGTCACGTAGATAGGTTCAAATAAAATAACAAACATATCTACGTGACTTTACCGAAAGACCCAAAGAATATGAATTCCTGCAGTCACGAAAGCTTTAAGTCAAGATGTATTTATTGACACTGGAGGTATCCGATGAGCTATAATGCTCCTTTTCACAGATGTCCAGTCGGGGCGAGTAAGAACGTTACAACAACAGTTACAAAAACATGTGATAGTAGTGCAAAGTATAAGAAAGGTTTAAAAAATCACCCAAACACATACAGATACAACTAAACCACCCCCATCCTACCAGACAAAGCCCATTGAGGTGTTAACTTATTTTTCAAAAGCGACCTGGCAACAAATGATAGCTCAACAAAGTGGCTTATTATTTGGACATTTATAGCAGGAAAATAATCTAAATAGTCTAAACGCATATTTATACATGTGGAGGGGAACACCCGGAGAAAGGAATCCAAGCGACCACGGGGAGAGAGACATGGACTGTACCATACCGTACCCGCCATTCAACCACCAAGTGGCGGTGACGTTATCCACGGCGCTTGTGCCAGGCTAGGTGTACTTTGAGGCCACGTGAAATTGTTGGCAGGTTCGCCGGACGGGAGGTCACGGCACAGACCCAGGTTCCATGGGTTTGACCGACTGAAATGACTGGCAGATGCACACGCCGAATGGCTCACAGGGCTGTACCAAATAAAACTGGAACTGAACCAGCAGTAGTGGCCCCCTCTTAACTGTGCCAACTCGCTGCGTTTCATCCGCCCTCCGTTGTTGTTGGAGAGGAGGGTGGGGGGAAACTTCCCTCCCAACTGACCAGTCGAGCGTCCGTCCCTTCACGAGCCTCCTCCACGCGTTGGCCTCCGTCACAGACACACACCCACCACGTTAAGCCCCACTCAATCGTTTCACGTCTGCGCCCATTGCCTTCCGCCTCCGTGTCGATCCCCCCCCCCCCGTCCCTCTACCCCTACATGTTTAGTACTGGACTAAGAACGCGTGGGGTTAGGCGCTTGTGGGATGAGTGGTAGTGCAGCGGACAGCGCGCATTGCGCTACGCACCCGGCCACCCGAGTTCAGATTTTCCCCGCTCACGGCCAACAACAGGTGACACTTACATCACTGGACCTCCTTTGCCAGTACCAAAATATAATAATAGGGTTTTTACTTTGATAGTGCATTGTCTTTGAGCTGTACGCCTTTTTGGCGTCATCTGGTCTAGCACCAATTGAGACTCGGCTCTAAAGAAAGCTGTCTCTGGTGTGGACCAATCAGTTTCAAGGACAATGCATCATTATCAGAGTGTTTTTTTGCATTTCCACTGCACGTATTGTGGTTAATGCAGACATGAATCCTTGTAAAAAAAGGTTTCAGTTTTGTTGCCAGAAAAAAGGGGAAAATCCCTATTATTATAGGTGACACTTATCTGAACCGGTTCTGAGCCTCCGCTAGGTCGACTCAGCCTTAAATGAGTAGCTCGTGCGGTGTGTAAACATCGCTACTAGGGAGACAAAGGCGTTCCGGGCGTAGGTGCTGGCCATCCACCCCCTCGTGTGCCGTGCCGGCCCTCATAGGTGCTCGCTAACAGCACTTGCCCCAAGAATCTGTTAAGGGATCTTTGTCTTTGGAAGGTGCCCATGATTCATGTGTTACTCGTTATTGCTCGAAAGTTCCCCAAGTAGATAATGGTCTTCAAAATACAGTGCAGCATAGTATTCGGTAATAAAATATATATTCACTTCAAACATAGCATTTCTAGGAACTTTTATTTAAATAAAACACTACTCTAGTACTACTATTTACATAGTTCATTGTACGAAAACTGTAACACTTAAGTATAAGTTAAATTGAATGCCAGCATAATTGTATAAATAACATCATTTTAAGTAGAGAAAGTAACATGCTTATTAAAAAAACATAGGCACAGGAATAATTGTATCATGGGATGACTTCATTTGTAGCTTGCATCATGATGCCCTATAGGGTACACAGCATTGTAGTTTGTGTAACTTCACCACTGATGAGTACATTTTACAGCGTCGTGGAAGTACACACGGATAAAGGTACTGTGCGGAAGGCAACATTTATAAACCTCAATATATCCTCGCGAACATAAATAAGCTGAAATTATTTTAAATTAACCTCTCAATAACTTGACTAATATTGACATTCAAGTAAGAGGATTCAGTGCAACTATTCGTACAGAATATGACTCATGTATCTTACCAAAACCATGTCCTTATGGTCCATAACCTTAACATGTTAGCACTTGGTGCATGTTAGGCAGTTGCCGAGTTAAATAAGAAAGGTTTTGTTTTAAGTTGTCCGAACATTCCAAAGCAATACAACACAGCCAATAAATTACATGATTTTCTACCAGGATATTCTCATGAGCAAGAGTGATTTGGATCACCAACGTGACAAATGCAAAAGTACAATAAAGCAAAGCAATGATAAAACAAATACAAAAACACTCGCGTAAGCAATCGAAAATATTCGCAAACAAATCAATGTAAACAAAAGATAAATATTCAATTCTCTGCAGCGAAATTAGGCTCGGGGAAATTTCCTCCAGATTAACCATAGCAGAAATTTTAAAGCTAAGCCACATGAAACATTAAACTTATATCGGTTGATTATAGTAGAAATCGTACGACTGTATCTTCGCAAAACGTTTTGCTGATTTGCTGGTTGGCCACGCGCCACCCAGCACGCAGAGGCCAGAGGGCACACGGTTGGGGTCGCGCGGGGTGGGGGGCACCAAAAGGAAGCGCGGTTGGGGGTGCGTGGGGGCAAGGAGGGGGGCGTAAGTGGGGGGAGGGGGCGACTAGGGGAATATGCGGTTGGGGAGGGGTCCACGGGCTGGAGAAGTTGGGGGAGGTGGTGACGTTGGAGGTGGGGGAGGAGTACTTTTAAATGGTATACGTACGATATTATTATTTTTTTAAATGCTGATGTCCTGCCAGCCAGCAACACTTCTTTCTAAAAATGTTTGAAAAATTATTGCTTTATTATTGTTTTCATGAACCTGAATGTAACATTTACACGTTATTTTATTTCATACTAGCAGCCCGCATGTCCTGTGGACATGACCTTCCAGCCAGCCAACCAGAAAAGCTATTTTTTTCTAAAACTGTATAGTATAAAATTTGGGTAATGTATATTATACCCCACATATGCAAAGGCAAACATCTCCCATTTAGCCATACAGAATATTATTCGAAGCGCTATTAGCCAGCACCTTGCACATGCACACACCATTATAAGATAACCTTATTTGCCACAAAAAAGTAGTGATGTTACCACAATCCTTGCCTGTGCCAGGCTTGGTGCTGGAGCATGGTGACATGTTGCGCAAAAGCCCTTTAGTGATGTCATGGGACATAACCAACACACACTTGAGCGCGCACATATTAGTCTTTCCCAGAATCTGAGTGAGTATGGGGTCGATGATCGATAAACTTTGCCGACATCGTGCTTGCTTCTGTGGTTGGTTGGCCTCTTGTCGTTTTTGTTTCTGTTGCAAGTGATTTGTGTGAACGCTGTCTGGAGTTAAACTTGACCAGTATGCCGAAGCTGCGATCCACTGCCTCTGCCTGGACAACGGCCAACTGCAGCACGCGTAGTGTAGCCATTGTAGACATCCAGCTATTTCCGCGAATGCTTGGCACAGGCTGCAACACTTCCACAGGCCTCGCAATGCGCACCTGCGGCACCTTCAACTGCAATACATGACCAATTTCACATCATAGACGACACACGATACAGCAGCTCACCGATAGTAAAAATCATCAATGGATTAGCGGTCATGATATTTAGCCAATAATACAAACACTTTAATGTATACAAACACGCTTATCTTTTCGTTTGCATATTATTTCAATAATGATTATTATCAGAATTATTTATCCACGGAATCCTAAATGAGTGTCAACAATTTTCAATAGTTTTGCCAGGAATGCCCTGCTTGGAATACATATATGGACAAATCGTTATTGAGTATACTTGCATGTGGGGATAGGTGGAACACATTGATAAAATAATCTCTGAAAATCCATTGTCGCATGGATTTACCTGTGTTTTGATTCGGGATAGAAGGCCCTTCATATCACGAACAATCTTGTCGATTTCTACAGCCAAGGTTGCTTCGATTTGCTTCAGTTGATTGAGTTCTTTTTCATTCCTTTCTAGTATGCTCTGAATGTTCTGCAGGCATTTTGTATACTTTGGGTCCTGGAAAGAAATGCATTGTTCAACTTACACGACTTAAATATATATTTCAATGAAGGCTGATAATGCGATGAGGCTTTGCGGGATTTGCTACTCAACTTAGCTCAAGTAGTAGCTTCAGCAGATTAATTGTGCTGCCTATTGCCATATAATCTACTTTCAATGTAGACGTTTAGATAATATCCGTAGTCATGGGACTGCCTAGTATCACATTGCATACTTTAAAATTATATAATCAGTACTATGTTACTGCTTAGTCTAAACCATTAATATTATAATGACAGTATTGCATATGTCTAATCTCAACTTAAGTATATGCTTATGAGTAGGGACTGTTTATTGTGCAAACTCTATCAAATGTCACACGGGTCGCACTGACTGAGAAAATGTAAAATGATAGACACGATGCCTGTCCCAACCAATAGTTTATTCTTTAATACCTTCATGCATTGTCACATCAACAACAATTTACATATAAAGTGCTAGCTCTGACCATGCCAGTGACTTTCTCTGTAGGTTCAAATCTGTCAATACCACACTTGTGAATTACAGAGTTCATCCCCAAAGGGCATTTAGATTCTTACCATTTGTAAAGAGTCCTGGTCGCAGGAATCTATTCTCGTGGATACAGGTCCATCCAGGATGTCACCATCCAGCTCCTCCACACAGCGCCTATGAGAATTGCACTGCACCGTGAATGTGCAATCAGACATACGCACATGTGACGCGGCACATTGCGTTGTTTTTAAACAAACGCTTATTTGGGCATTACCTTACCAGACTTAGAGTGTAGCCCCGTGTACACATATTGGGTGTCCCTAAGTAATATATATAATTACAATGATTTAAACCTGTATATAAAAGTATTGGGCTTGGGCAGGGGCGTAACTATGGGGTATGTTGCAGCGTTCTGCGATGCATAGGAACCCCGTCGACCACAAGGGGGCCCCAAATCAACAGATAAACAAATAAAAGTGTTAAGAAAAAATATTCAAAATAATTATCTGCGGTATACCATGGACGAATCCCGATTAGCATCTGGCTATCATATCAATAGAGCAGCATAAAATTGCGCGATCCACGCCCTTTGAGTAAATGCTAGAGGAGATGTGCCGGCACGAAAGCAAGACGCATGGATAACTTAATTGTGAGTATTATACTTTTACATCTTTTTTTTATTAATATTGTCACTCTAAACCCAAGACACGGTGGAACTAAATAATGTATATAGTTATAGCCTACGTATTATTGTATACGGGTTATTAACATCTGCAGCGATTTCAGTAAGCGTAATCTGGAGAACGGAGGGGGGCCCACAGTCGGATCTTGCATACCCCCGTTGAAATAGGTAGTTGTGCGTCTAAGCTTGGGGAAGACACGTCGCTAAAGGAGGTAATGGATGATGACCCAGAATAGATGACAAAGCCAAGGAATTAAACGTTTTTGAGAGTATATTCACAGAGGAGATGGAGCGATTTAATCAGCTCCAGTGCAACTGCTAGATGGATTGTTATATCTCAGGTTTGTGAGAGATGGCATCAGCTTGGGGAGGCCTTCATCCAGCAGATGATTGACCTTGGCTGATGATGATGAGCACGACTATATTGCATTATATGATTAATTATATTAATAGCTGAATTAAAAACATTAAATCCAGATTAGAACGCCAAATTTCATGCTTTTGGCAATTTGAGCTTATGGTAGAAAAACATCTACTTCCCTGTGAAACGTCCTTCGGTTATGCCACAATGCAAATTTAATTTATTTACATAAGCAAATATTATAATTTGGAATATGTTTAGCATTTTGTGGGGAATGCTTTGCACATGCACCATTATTTTAATGTGTGGCCGGGTTAAACGTTACATTTTGTGTAGCTGAACTCAATGCGTCCAACATAGTCACTGGCTGCCACATCAGACGTGGTAATATTTCCTGAGACATCTTCTAGAAAGATTTTCAATGGTTATAATAGTTTATGATTGTTGTCATATCACTTTATCCAGCTTTTGTTCAAATTTCTATATAAAATAAGTCCACTGTTTCCATACAGCATCTTGAAATGTGGTCGGATTTCAACACTATAAAAATCCACAAAGTAGTGTATATTGAATGACATTGTTATTGTGATTGTTTAACCAGCAAAGCCTCACTGAATCTAATGACTTTTTTGAGGAGGGTCCTAGAAAGTTTTTGCAGTCAGGGGCAATTATTGCTTCGTATGTTCCATTGCATAATTTGCAATGGAACAAACTTTCGACAAATTCAACCATTACGATGGCACATCCTGGCCTACTCTTGTGAATTACATCACGGGGTGTTTAAGGTTCACTGTGAAACAGAGGGAGCGTATTTTCACGGTTAATTAATCCACGTGCATTATTAAGCTGCTGCTGCTGCTGGAATCGGACCGTGAACCTCCTCTGCAGCAAGCCGCGAACACCATTCGAAATAATCCAGTTAACATAGTCATGATCCACCAAATACACTTCTACAGCCTGCATGCCAAAGCATAAACTATACAATTAATATTCTTGATTCTTTCGGTAAAGTCACGTAGAAGGGAAACAATAAAATAATACAAATATAAAACAATACAATTCTCACGAAACGTCGTGAGAATTGTATTGTTTTATATTTTCATCATTTTATTGTTTTCCTTCTACGTGACTTTACCGAAAGAACCAAGAATATGAATCCCTGCAGTCACGAAAGCTTTAAATCAAGATATAATTAATGTACAGGGCCAGGCTATCACTATTTTAGCTGCTCATCTTAATATTGCAATCGCGTTAAACTGTATCACTGTGACATTTACTGCATGCTTGTGTCGCAAAAACGGAAGTTACACTTTACTCTGTAACAAGGAAATTATGGAGCCAACATTTTTTGACTGGGTATTTCAAGAACTGTACACGAGAAGCTGGAACTCACGTGTTTGTCGAGCAGCAAGACCATGGAGTTGTAAATTTTCTCCGAGGCCAGGAAACACCGGAATAGAGGGCTCAGCGAATCCAGAGGTAGGGACGGGAACCCGAGAACGGTCGACCAGAGCAGCGTCACGGCCACGCAGCCTGTGGGCACAGTGCGGCAGAGGCTCGAGAAGCCCTCTTCGGCACCCTCTTGTCGTGTCACTCTCGCGTCCACTGTGGCCACTCACCGACACTTGGTGTCTCCGTGCGCTTGCCAACACGAGTGACATACGTGTTGGCACCCATGTCACATTCAGTTTTCGTAGTGTGTTTCACAGCATGTGTTGGGGTAAAGTGTGGGTATTCACATTTATATTCAGAGATGTCTCACCAACGTGGAAGAGTAGGTCAAATACCATCCATAGAGGGGCTCCATAGAGACCCTTCTGCCAGCAGTGGCATGAGGAAGTAATTGCAGGGTTACCCTTTTGCATTGGAATATATTAGCACAAGATCGCCGAGTCCCAAGTCACCTCTGCAGGAGTGCCCCGCTCCCATTTGCGTATGAGAGAAAACCGCAGAACTCTGAATTTGGACATACGGTCACGAACCTCCTCGTTCTACTACCACTTCGCAAACTGGCAAGAGTAGGCGATCCTTGCGTGATCCACCAACTTCGCCCCCAATGCGCCGTGCCCAATTGTCAATTTATACAATCGATTAATTTCGCAGCACGCCTTGTGGTGATGGACTGCGTGCGGGTCATTTACGCACTTAGCCGAGTCAGATCGAACTCAAGTCTGCTCCCAGGTGGCTCACAAGCCATACTTTCCCACGCCAGCACCACTCGGTGAGATTCACGACTCAGTGAGGATGTCATCTGCCATTGCCAGAATTTTTTTTTGCACACACACTGCGCAGGAGAAGTATTTGCGATGCCTCGCTATTAAACCAAATTCAGCTGCGTTCAAATTATTTTCTCAGTCCACTGCGACATGGAGGCCCTTCAGGAATTGTTTAACAATACTTCATCACGCTGGTCAGTGCTGGTTGGACCAGTACATATATCGCTCGCCCACTGATGTTAGCCATCAATGGGACTCGAACTGAAGTAGCCTGGTTTTTTAGTGCAGTGCGCTAACCACCGCGCTACCTCTCCAACCTGCTGTTGGTGAATTATTAGCGTTTTAATTAATTCACGATCATTGCTTAACACATTTAAAAGTTACAGCTGCTCAGAATAGATAACGCTCGCTGCACGTGGTTCGCTTCCTTACCCATTCGACAAAGGGATGCCATGGGTCCTTGCAGTATCGTGCTGTACCTCCCACTGCTTGCGACTGTCTGAGAGCGAAAGTCGTTTGTGCCCAGGACCCAATTGTCATTTATATTCTCGCCACACATTTGTGTTACTTCACCGGACATCCCTGTTTAGGCTTCCGAGTGAAAACACTAAATTGAGCACGCCCCTTATATGCAGAAGGTCACTTTGAGCAATTCCCGCAATCCCCACGCATTCTCTGACGTACGCACACGGCCCTTGCGACCATCTGATAGACACCACCCGCTGACGTTTTTGAAGACATTGAGTCATGGGTGAAAATTCCCACAGGGCTTTGTGAATGAGATACCACGCTGCGGAGAGCAGTCATTGTGGATCTTGGCTGCAACCTGTTGTGTGGTCAGAGAAAATGAATCATTGAGACTGATGCTGGCAGTTTTCGTTCATTCATTAACCCAATGCAAAGGCACGTTCAGTTCCTTAAACGACTTCCTCCAACAGTCGACTTGGGTTTCTCAGTGAATTACATACGTGTCAAATTTTTCACAAATTGAAAAGACCACGAACGTTTTTAGTTCCCTTTATGTGCCTTTGCTGAAATGTATTAAGATTTCGATGTCCAGTTGTATACATCAAAAAACCTCACAACTACCACCACCATCAATATGATCAGCCTCCCCAAGCTATCGCCACCCCTCACAGCTCTGGAATGTAAACGGCAATCTATAATTTGTACATTCGTAGATTTCATCTTCCCATCTCTGCGGTGGATGTAATCTCGGGCATGTTCCCTCTTTTGCATCCTACTGTCCTCATTATCGACCTTTGGCCATTAAATCTTCTCGAGAAGTGTCCTAATTCAAACCTACTTAATTTTATTAACAGTCATGAAATGCCTAACTTGCAAAAAGCACGTTCAGTTCCTTAAACGATTGCACCAGTCTTCGATTCCACATTAACATCATGCTAATCTCTCACATTAACATAGCCACTTCTGTGCCCTCGTCGAGGAGGCCGCTCTCCGATATTACAGTTACACGCTAATTTCTCACATGAACATCACTGGCCCCAACCACTTCTTTATGACCCTTGGGCTACACCTATTTCAAACCTTTTTAAAACAGTCTGCCTCAGTAGCAGACCATGCTTTCCCACCTGATGACGGATGCTTGTGTTGGACCCGAAACGTCGTGATTTATTTTATACCTACATGACTTTACCGAAAGAGTTTGCATATACTATACTAGCTTTACTACCCGGCTTCGCCCGGGAATTTGATTCACCACGCCCGGCCGCCTTTGTCTCCCCAGTGGCGATATTCACACACCACACCAGTTACTCGTTTGAGGCTGAGTCGACCTAGGGGAGGCCCAGAACCGGTTTAAATAATCGTCACCGGTGGTGGCCGTGAGCGGGAATCGCCATAATAAAAGAAGTGTGGTAAATCTGTGACATCATCACAGATGCAGGGACCAGTTTTTGAAATAAAATAATCGGACCTAAATGAATACATATAATGACATGCCATGATCATTCAATGGTGCCTCAATTACCCTTCTATTTCAAAACAGTAGTTAAACTGATTTGTTGAATGATATGCCCAATATCTGCTTATCATTTTATAAGGTCGCATTCATTACACACAAACTGCTTGCCACAAATGAACCACAATACCGTGCTGATCTCGTCAAGGAGCATACACCATCACGAGAACTCCTGTCATCCTCACAACGGCTTTTGGCTAACCATCAAACGCACTTTCAGATGTGCTTCTGCGACCGTCCGGACCATTCTTACTTCCAACATTAGGGAGCCACTGGAGTTATGCACTTTAAAATCTATGTTGAAAACTAATTTGTTTGAAACTGCTTTTTGTGTTTAGTTTGTTGTCCCTCCCCCACACCTCCGATTAGCACGGTTGGCTACATACGGTGTAAAAGAAGTTCAGCATACATACATATTGAATGCCCCCACCACTCTCCACCCAGAACTATAAATGGTTACACCACAGTCGATCGGAAGGTTGCATGTGGTGGGGAATAGTGTGACTACTCATACCTTTTTCAAGACGTCAACCAGCATCTAAGAAAAGGCCAATCCCCTCAAGAGGGCTTTTCTAGAGCTCCATCAAGTGGAGATCCTTCCACCAGCAGAGGTGTGAGCAAGCATTTTCTGGGCTGTACGTTTACATTAGCCTCAGTTTCTTATTGCAGTATATAAATTGTTCACAACCATCATCAAAGTGAAAATGCCTATGATTCTGGTAAGGCGACAATCGTCATCTCCTGATATTGCAATACTTTCTAGTAGCACACTATAACTACATTCAATGTTTAGCATTCAAATGCTGTGCAACTCAGCCCATCACCTCTGCAGAGTCAATAAAACAAGTTCTGTGCCACTTTTGTGGAAAGTCAGCAGTGGTTCTGCTCAGAATGCTGGCCCATTAGATGAGCACCACCCAGGCTAATTTTAATGTAGATACACTGATTCTAATGGCTGCAGTTATGTTATTGTGGTTCCACCAACTGATGATGCAGGAAGTGTTTTATTGCATGTGTCGTGACATTGAATGAGTCACTGTAGCGTGCGGCGCTGGGAGATTGGTACACAATGGGATTCCGGGTAGCAGCCCATTCTACCAATGGGACCCGTGGGCCAATCCCGGACCCTTCTGGGGGATCCAGAAGGGTGCATGGTTGAGGGCTGAGCCTGGCCACGCTGGGGAGAATAAAAGGCGAGCTCCGACTCCCAGTCGGGACCTGCTGCCATCGGGAATGGAACTCGTCATGCTGCTGTCGTCGTGGTCTTTGCCTCTTCAAGCTGTGAGTCTGGAAGCATGTTGGCTGTCTCAGCCCAGTATGGAATTATCCCCTATGGCTGTGAGAGCCGGAATAAATAAGAGGGATAACGCCTCCTACTAGTGTCTCTTAATTAGTACACTACATTTGGTGTCAGGAGTGTTACCGAAAAACACATTTTTTATTTAAATTGTAGGGTTGTTAGGAACTAGATTTGAAGCTTTTGTGACTGCAGGAATTACTCTTTGGTTCTTTCGGTAAAGTCACGTAGAAATAAATAAAATAAAATAATAATAAAATACGACGTTTCGATTGCAACACAAGCAACCATCATAAGGTACAAATGGATGAGAAAACAAACAAAGTACATTTGGAAATGTAATGCAATACAACACAGAGAGTCGGCCAACACAACAGTCAACACCCCACCTGGTTGATTACGTTCTTCCAAAGATTTCTAAATTTGAGAGAGAGACAAAACCTAGACATGGAGACACAGACACACAAGCAGAGAGAGACTCACACAGAGACAAACAGAGAGAAACATACACATAGGCACATAGTAACACACACATAGGCACACTCTCTAGGCCCATTGTAACCTGCTATGGCGTGCCGGGGTGGTGGCCTGGGCTGGATTTCCGGGAGAAGAGGGTGACCAGGAGCACCGAGAGTCTTCTCGGCCTGCACATCAGGGAGTTGGAGTCCGCGCGGGACAACGACGGGACCAGCTTGGGGGAACCTTCCCTCCGCCATGGCGGGGCCCCGTTACCTGTTTCAGATGTGGCCTACCAGGGCACATCTCCAGGGGCTGCCATGCTGATTTCGGGAAGTTTTTCCCGGTCTTCGTCGTCCTCCGCCCTGCTGGTCTCCGCTCCTCTGGACCCAAAGGCAGGTCGCGATGCATCACTCACCCGGCCAACACAGCCACCTCATGCATCTCCATTGCAGTGGATGTCGGGTGCACACGCCATTGCCCCCCATAGAGATACGGGGTGTGAAAATGGTACTTCGGTGCGTGATTGTTGGCCACGGGGGTCCAGGCAATGGACCGCATTGGCGGGAGCAGGATCTTACTCAGTCAGTGAATTTGTGCAGGGTGCTGAGGTGCGGGTGCTCAAAGATACAGGAGCATCCACCACCATTGTTTCAGAGTTTGTTTACAGGACGTTGCCGTCAATGGTGGGTTGCCTTGGTCCTTTGCGTAGTCCCTGTGTTGCTGCTAATGGTGGGAGCTAAGCTATTGTGGGCCAATTTGTGCGTTGATACGGATTGGAGATATTGAATGCACGGGCCCGGTGTTAGTTTCAAGTTCATTGGCAGTGCCGTGTTTATTGGGGACCGATTTTTTAAGAGAATGCCCCTCTGGATTTTGATTGACCAGGGTTGTGTTGAGTTACTGTCGGGGCTTCGGTTGAGATTTTTGGAGTCCCCTACTGGGTTGTGTATGGCTAACGCTGTGGTTCAGGCCCTGGTGTGTGAAACTCAGGGTTGCCACGGGTGCCCAAATGCTCGTACCCTTGAGGCTGCAGAAGCGGCTCGACCAGGAAATCACTGGGGGTGGGGTTCTTTTAACCCCTTCGAATAGAGTGGTTCGGGGTCTCACTTTGATAGGGGCCCAGACGATAGTGAGGGGGGATCAGGAGCCCTTCCTGCAAGTATTAAATGCTGGGCTGGGTACGGCGGTCATACAGGTGGTGTTGGCCCATGCGACGGCGGCGTGTTGTGGAGAAATGGATGATGTAACCGCTCGGGTCGTGGCCGCGTTTGAACGAGAAGTGGTGTCAGATGACTTGTTGTGTGCGGGTAATCCGGATTTGTCGTGGAAGCAGAGGGGCGAGTTGCGGGCATTGCTTCAGGAATTATACGATGTATTTAGTATGGGTAAATTTGATGTTGGCCGCACGTCCCTGATGTGTGACCATATTGATATAGGTGGCGCCACTCACATTCGTCAGAACTAATTTCGGTTTAGTCCAGGCGGTCGACGAGATGTCGGCCGCCGATGTAATCTCCCTGTCCATGGGGTGCTCCCATTGTCCTGATTAAAAAGAAGGAAGTTTGCGTTTTTTGTGTAGATTTTCGGAAATTAAATAAAGTTTCTGTGGTGGATGCGTATCCACTCCCATGGATGGATGATTCGTTGGATGCCCTGTCGGGGGTGCGGTTTTTCTGTACCCTGGATCTTTTGTCAGGGTTTTGGCAGTTGCCCCTGGATGAAGTTCAAAACCTAAAACCGTGTTCTGGACACTGCAAGGGCTGTTTCAATTTAACGTGCTTCCAATGGGGCTTCACTCAGCTTAGGCCACGTTCCAGCAACTTATGGAGTTGGTACTGTTTGGGCTCCAATGAGTCATGTCTGATCTATTTGGATGACGTGATTGTCTTTGGCCGCACGTTCCAGGAACATCTGCAGCGGTTACGTGCGGTATTTGTTAAAATGCGGGCGGCTAATTTGACATTCAAGCCGCAGAAATGTT